TAGATGTAGCATTGCTCCTTATCTTATCCTCTTGCATGCTAACAACTTTGACTAGGTGTGTGAGCTACACATGAGTTCAGCTGTACGTGCCCATTGGTTGGATAAAGATGACATTAGCCTGTGAATTTAATTAATAAACTAACAGCAAAAATATCCAGCCACGTGAGCATCAATATGAGACGTGGGCTCTACAAATCAAGTCCACTTAACCTGAGAAGATTAACATAAGTATACGTATGTGGACTTGTAAACAATCGTGTATACAATCACGTGCTAGCCCATTCCAATCAATAAGTTTTCCTTATTTGTACATGCATATAACATTGCTGTATATTTATTGTTTGCCCATACACATACATATGTGTTTGATAAAAGGTGACAAAATCTCGTCAAACAATCACTATAAACGTCACCTCGAGCTAACTATGCCATTGACCAAGAAGGTTCAGACCACATGACGGAGATCCTTTATTGAGTTCCTGCCCTTTAACTGGTGGCATGCATATCAATCAGATACCGGTGAGTGACTCATCTTTGTAAGGTTCATATGATTACTGTCGCATTTACTCTCCCCGCTTGGTATATTTCCTTGTCATCTATATATGATCAGGATAATAGCATAAGGAATCCTTGATTATTTTTGTGATTGAACAGCCAAAGGACTGGTTGTTTGAAGTTTAAGTGGCTCTCTGAATATTGCATTCATCGTGCAGAGCATTTCTTTGGGCGAGGAAAATCCGTCGGTGTGACAGTAGAACAAGTGAGCTGTCTTACAAAACCTCCAGAACACATCCTTGCATGGCCTAGGAACAACACGTTCTTCTCTAACAACCAGCCTTAGCAGGTCTCTCCGGCACGAGGCTATTGACTCTTGTATCGCCTCTTGAGCAGCTTCAATGGACATGGAACCCTCACTGTGAAGAACACGCAGTGAGATGATGTTCGCTTTTCCATCACTGGACTCCCTCTGCAACAAGAAGTAGATCATTATTAGGATCTACCCAGTGCCAAGATTAATCTGCACGGCAGTGATAAAGTAACCCATTGCTATGAATATTTTGTTAGAGATGGAATGAGAAGTACCTCAAAGCCTTGAGTATCATTCAGGAGACGGCCACATGTGCCCATTAATTTAAGCAACTCATTGTACTCCGGGTCTTTGATAATATGATTCTCGAGTTTTTGTTGGACCAAATAGAGTGATGTGAGGATAATGGGACCCATCCCGAATGAGGTTACCGCTTCTGTCATGTATTGCTCAACTGTTGGTACATATTCACTCCGTCGCCATTCCGCCTCGGTCGCTGCAGACCTCAAGTAATGTAGCCACTGCAGATGAGTATGGACTTTTTAATATACAATTTTATTTATTTATTTTGTACGTAGCTAGCCACAGCAGCCATGCCATTCTTATCAACTTGGAACTCAATTTAGTATATCTCAGAATAAGAAGATCACACAAGAAGCTCACTGTTTCATCCAGGTGCTTTGTAACATCGAGGTTTTGTACAGCAGAAGCCATCTCTCCGATCTGCTTAACTGTAGTATAAAGAGCAGAAAATACTACTTCTACTTGCTCAGAGTAGAACTCAACTTGGTGATGCTGATCCCACCTAAGACAACCATTGGCAAAACAGTGAAGATGACTCATTAGCAAAGCACTACTTCAGAAAGTGTAGACAAAAAAATCAAGTTAAAGAATTGTACTTCTCTACTAATGCTATGAGGTTTTCTTGTTCTTCTTTGGATGCTCCAACATCAAAGAAGTCATCAGTAACAAGTACGAGCGCAATAGTTTCCGCACATGCAATACGAGCATCAGAGAATTCATGAGCAGATATGGTTGCAGCAGCAGAGAGATAACAATTTATAAGACTCCCTTTGCGTAGAAATCTTAGCTCGTGCAGCCTGTTTTCTTTCTCCCACCTGTCAGCACAAAAATTAATTCAAATAATCTATATAAACATAATTTAATCAATTGGAAAAATGATAGTCAAATTACCTCTCGAGGTGGCTGAGTTCATCCTGGTATATAGATTGAGAAAAACTGAAATCTTGAACAGCAAAATCTAGAAGATCTTGATTAACATGACACAGCCTGATCCATAAAAGTATTTTTGTTTTTTTGTAATTAACATATATTGACATGATATCACAGACATTTCTTTTTCAGAAAAGAGAGCCTTACAAGTTTTTTGTCTTTAGCGGCTCAGAAACCCTAGAGTCAAAATGTTCAATGTTCCTCTTACGGTCTAGAGCTTCCACTGTTGCATAAAATGGAAATTTAAGAGTATATTCTACCTGAAATTACAAAAGAATAATATTAAATGTAAATTGAACTGCCAAATGAAATGGGGATTTTAAATTCATACACTTACCTCTCCAAAAATTGGTATTCTGTTTGTCCCATTACAACACAACTTTTCTGTCAATAAGCGGCCTGACCAGTTACTTATGTTCTCCAGGATCAATTCATTTTCTGACAAACATACTTTCGAAGCCTTGTATAACTCTAATAAAGAATTTGTTTGACTTAAATAGCCTTCAAGTGAGTTATGGAAAGTGGAGGCCTCAGCAACATGGGACAACTCATCTGTGCAAGATTAATTTTTGACTGTAGTGAGTAAAAATCAAGGGCAAAAGAGAAAGTTTGTTAGGAGAAATGGAATTTTGATCAAAGTATCTACCTGACGAAACATCATATCCATTCATCCGTAAAAGGCGAAACGCCATTGCACATGTTTCTACATCTTGAATTATTTCCTCCTCTCTCTGTAACCAGGAACTGCAAAGTGAATACAGTCAAGTTGACATACTAGCTACTAGGAACAGGTATCAGGTATTTACTCCGGATTATTAATTACATGTATGCCTTGTCCAGGATGGTGTTTATGTCACTGGAAAAATGGCGAGATATTCCAATCTTTTCGAGCATATCCACCATTGAGAGCTGATAATATATATTCTGTGGGTATACTGTTGGTACTGTAAACGTATAATGGCATTAAGTATACAGCAACAAAATCTGCACCCTGGGAGATCCTCCACAAAGGAAATTAGAGAAATACACACCTGCACCACCAAATATTCTGACAATGGAGTCGAGGTACTGGAGAGCTTTATTATCATAGTAGTGCACTAATGCAGCAGCAGTTGCGGCAGGAGAGTTGAACAAGGACCCATTCTTTCGCTGGAACTTCATAACTTGATTGTAGTCCAACAAGTTTACTAACCTTTCTTCAGCAACATAGGCCAAATATGCTTCTTTCCCACAAGATTTCTCCTCAGCCAGTCTAAATAAAATCAAGTGTAAATTTGTTATTATGTTACATCAAAAGAACATATAATCGATACTCGACCCCCTTTTTCCTATGTCAAACTTGATTCCTACAAAATTACAGCAATAGTCATGGCACCCTTCTCGTTTTCATTTCATACCTTGTCAGCTCCATCTCACGGAGGTGAAGTATCCCACTGATATCAGTTTCTCTGACTGGAAATTCCAAACCCATCGTGATAGCATGGTTAAGCATACCAGGGAAAATAAGATTGAAGCCTACCGGAGAAACAATTTGCTCATTCTTGACAGTGGAGACATTCCTTCCAATAAATTCTAGTCCTTCGAGTATCATTTTATACGCGTGAAGATCTTTCAAAGAAGAAAGTTAAAAATACAAGTATTAAAACAATTACACATACCTCTCCTTATGTGGCAGGAGCCAATGTTCCATTTCTTAAGTGCAATGATACAGGCCAATGTGGATAACATAATATCCTTGTTTGCTAATAACCCAAATTCGTTGATACCCCAAGACCCACTAGAGTGTTGATTTTGCAGTATCCATTCAACACACCGAGGGAAGCATGGAGCCTGCGGATCCGAGTCCGGCAATGGCACCATAGCCACCCATGCCGTGTCATACGCAGATGGCGAGAATTCAGGTTTTTTGAGATGCTTTCGTATTCTAGCATCCAGTTCCTAGTTTACATTGATCAAAGCAACACGAATCTCACCATGGCACGAACTTGAAACATTTATCGAAAAGAAGAGTTAGGATAGCAATGTTCATACCACAGCACTGCATGGTCCTATAGTTTGTCCTGCCAACATCGCCTCAGCAACATATGCTGTCGGATGGAATATATAACACAAATCAATTATATTATATGGCTCTAAATTCAGAAATACAAATATGAAGTAGCAACCTTATATATAAAAGTAAGTTTCAGAAAAACAAGATTTCAGGCATTGGTAAACAGAGAACAATTATATTGTGTATCTCTTCCACGGAAAAAAAGCAACAAAATACCTCATGTTGTGCGAAAATGCTCTGGCCAAAGAAAGCTCTATCCTAGCAAAGCTACGGACTCTTATTCCCTAGCAGAAGGAGAAGAAATGGAGAAGCAATGCACCTGGTTCAGTGGAATGAAGCCTGGAGGCTAAGCAGGCGAAGCTGACGCGCGGAGGCTTTCCTCTTCCATGATGCTGCACCTGCAACTCACACTTTGACACGGACGGTGGAGCGGCCGGGAGGCGGACGGCCTGGTGAGGCGCAGATTGCAGGAGGGTGCAAGAGACACTAACTCGTGCAGGATTTGCCATGGGAAATGGGCGATCACCAGGGTTTTTTTTAGTACAGCAAACAGAGAGGTTAGCTGAAAAACTAACAGTGATTCTGCGCCAACCTTCTGAAAAGACGAAGTATATATAGAAGTTTCAAGTCCATGGACTCCCGCTGCTGCGACTCTTCTTCAGTTAAGACATTTTTCTGTGCGGAACCCAGATATAGGAGTTTGAACTTGCTGAATATTCCTTGTATATGTGACGTCTAAGTGCTGCCATCCGCGTCGCCACGTCACTCACAGAAGTTTGGAAAATACGAGGACTAGCCGGTCAAGCTGGTTTGAAATATCGCCTAACTTCCACAAGCCTGCGCTGAAGCGAGAAAATTCACACCATTATTCCTTGTACGTACGTGGTACGTCCATTCATCCTTGGACAATCTGGCTAACATGCATAGAAAATGGTGGCCTTGCGTGGAAGACTACTAAATTGTCAAAAGAAACTGACAATAACTTTGACACCAGACAAGAAAACATGCGTGGAAGACTGCTGAATTGGGTACAAGATTTTTCAACGAACTGCAGTGATAAGGACCTATACAAGATTTTTCAAATCGAGTGAATAGTTTTTAGAGTGACCAGCATTGATTTGTCCACAGTGTGACTGTGACCATTATCCGTCTTCCTTTTTTCAACGGTATACTCCCTCCATTCCTTTATATTAGGTGTATTTGTTTTTCATAAAATTCCACAATGTAAAACGTATTTGTTCTAATTCCTCTTAATTCCATTCTTGTCCCTCCAGAAAAAGGAAAGTATCTCACACCTGATTGCATGTTTATCTCCTTGTAGAGGAAAAAAAGGAAACTATCTCACGAGTGGAAATGTAGTAGTAACCATCTGCTCTGAGTAGTTCTTGTGGTTGATTAGTAGTTAAGTCAATTTTGTACATTTCTAAAAGCAGATTCTGCTCCCATTCAATATGGATCGAGTCGTTGCCCTCGAATGATTTTTCTGAGAAAAATTAAGGCCTGCATCTCATACGTTCTATAATTTTCCACACATTTTTAAATGAACATAAATTGCTGTGGTGAGTGAGAATCAAACCTAAGTCCTCACATGTGGTAACTTTGACACTAAAAAACTTGTTAAAACACGATGAAACGTGTTTTAAAGGACTAATGCAACATGTTTTGTACTCCGCATGTCTCTTTTTTGTAGCGATGGTTTTTTTTCTAGAGAAATAAATGTTTTGCTCCTGTAGAATTCGGACATCAGTCTTTTTCTTATGTGTCATCCCTCGGCAAATTCTCTTTAATGAGCCCGATAATTATACGCACCACAAATCTGATAGCTAAAGTTACCAGGACTGGGATACGTAAGTTATCAGGTCTATGATGTGTGAGTTATCATGCTATTGACACAAAAAGCTATGGAGGGGATATTTCATCAACTCCCTCCCCCCAACCCGCACCCTCGTTGCCAAAGTTACCAGGACGGGGTGCATAAGTTAAGGCGATATGTGAGATACCATGCTATTCACACAAGAGTTCATCAACTTCCCCCACCCCCTTTCGTCGCGAAGGTTACCAGGACTGGGATACGTAAGTTATCAGGTCTATGATGTGTGAGTTACCATGCTATTGACACAAAAAG